GGACGTGAAGAGGCAAGCGTTCTAGTGTTCTTTTGAAGTTCAAGCAGGGCTTCTTTGGTGTAAGTACCGGCTTGGGGTTGGACATTCGATGGGAGAGACGAAGAAGATGGGGCAATTCGGTCTTTTGCAGCGGTGAGCTTGTGTGAGGAAGAGGATGAAACGGATTTGGCGAATCGAGAAGAGGACGAGGAGGGTTTGGAGGAGGGGCGAGTAATGGGTGATGATTCGGTTTCTTCGTCGTCAGCAAAGCTTAGGAGATTTTTGGGGGCTTGACTGGGTGGTTTTTTGGGTTTGGAGGCGGCGGTTTTGGTGCTGGGTTTTGATTGGGGTTTGTTGGTGGAGGTGCTGGTTGTGGTTGTGTTGTCGTTATCTTCATCGGTGTCGTCGCTGCGACGACGGAAGTTTCTGGCTCTGTTGTACATGCTCGGTGGCTGTGGTGGAGATACCCCCGCGGAGGGGGTGGCGGTTCGAGAGACGGAGTGCGGTGGTTGTTCTGCTCAGAGATGGACTTGTGTGTTTGGCCAGTTGTTTTTCAAGTCCCGGGCGAATTGCATTGGGGAAGCTAATAACAAAGCAGAGTAAGTAAGGTAAATTATAATTACGTCCCCAATAGATTAGATTAATTATACGGATATCCTTTTTATTATCTGAAATACCACTAACCTCCTCTATCAGATTTTGTCAGGTAACGACGTTGACGAAAATTATACTATCGCGAATTTTAAGACCGAAATACTTTTACGAATGACCTCCCCTTTCGCCTGTGCTTCTTCTCTTCTTACTCAAAAAATCACCATCGCTCACCACGCAGCTAACTGAGGCCAACTGAGGTAAAATTCTTAAATGAGACCTTTCTAATTATTACTATAATAATATTAAAAATATTTGCCCAGTTCTTTAAATATGAAAATATATTCATTTAAATATTTAATTTTGGGATCTTATAATAGAATCAGACTTAATTAAACATTTATCTAAAAAACAGGCTTTGAGAACAAATTTAGACTTAATTGAAACTAAATCTTATAATTCTAAAAATAAATTAAACTTAATCAAAAATGAATTTAAAATTTTTTGGGGCCTTCAAAGTTTGGGACCCTAGACGACGGATTCACCTGCCCAGTCATTGGGTCAACCTTGATCACGAGACTATAACCCGTCACCCAATTCATTACACCACATACTTTTCTCACTCTCACTCTCTCTCTCTCTCTCTCTATATATATATATATATATGTATGAACTCGTGTGTGAAACATTTCTTCTTTTCCCTCCTCTATGTATTTCTCGTCTTACTTATCACTAGTCTCTAACAAATCATGCACTTCACAACCACCGTAACTCCTGACACCCACCTTAAATCACATAGAGCAGGAATGCAAAAAGTGACAAAATTTAAAAATTTATAAAGATATGAGAGCCATGAAAATAAGCTCTTTTATTTTTTGATAATGAACCTTAATAGTACGTGCCACAAATTGTCGAAGGGAATGAAAATAATTTGTTGGTTTAGGAAGAGAAATGCATAGACAGGCAAAGTAATTGTTGGGTTTGAGGGTATACGAGCCGAGAGAAATAGAGAATAATTTGTTGGGTTTGGGAAAAGAGACGCAAAGGGAGAAGTATTTTATTTTTTTTTAGTTATATATGTTTTATATAATTTTTTTGAATATCCTTAATTGGGGCCGTTGTAATAATTTATGAAAAAAAATATTAATTGGGTCAAATAAGATGGTTACTAGAACCAAAAAAAAAAAATTATATAAAATCTCTTAAAATTATTAAACTAAAATTAATTTCTTAGAGAATTGGTATGATTTGTTAAAACTTCGTTTGGTTAAAAAATTATGAAATATATAAAAAAAAATAGGTAAAATATAAAATTCATAAGAAAATTAAATATTATAGAATATTACTGTTATTTGTGTCAAATCTATAATATTATATATGACAGATTTCAATAAATTTATTCGACGGTCTCACATAGACCCTTCTAACGCCCTTCAACATTTTTTTTAAAATCATTCACATTGAATTTTTATCCTTTAAAATTTATAATTTCTCACTTACGTTGCACCGTACATTTAGGCACGGTTTATCCCTACTAATATATCAAAATACAACTAATGACAAAATTTAGGGCCTTTTAATGTAATTTATCTTTAAACAAATCTAGGTCAAGTCAACCAGTAAGGATCTGTTTGGTGCATGAGTATGAATAAGATTCACATGATAGATTTTATACACATAATTAAAAGGTAATATTATTGAGATTTAATTTATTGATCTAATTTATTATGACTGTTAGCTATATTATTAAATATTAAAATTTAATATTAATTCAATGATTTAAATAAAATCACATAATTAAATTATTAAATTGTATCAAATTTTTAAATTCAAATAGAACATTACTCTACAAATGCACATTCTACGCTCATGTTTGATTCAAGATTTAAGACTTCGAGATTTGAATATCAGCGTGCTAGCAACAATAGATTAAGACCTACAAATAAAGTTTGATGAAACCCAAGCGGGTGCCTTTTAAATACGAGAGATTAATTTATAGATAAAAAACACTATTTTAACAAAAAAAAAATATATTATTCACAATATAATAAATATTTTAATCAATTGAATATTTATATATAATTTAATAGAAATTCACTAATTATATATATACAGGTTGCTGTTGGGCCATTTGGGTAAAGGTTAATGGGTTAATAGTGGTTGATACGGCTACTGGCCGGATAACCAAAGCAGATTGGGCTACTGGCTTTGTGGGCTGAGTAGTAGGTTGGGCTACTGGCCTTGTGGGCTGAGTAGGTGGTAATAAAAATCTGTTTGACAAGACTAATGGTAAGTCATGTTCAGATTTGAGTAATATTTTATCCTTTCCCTTCCCCCTGGAATTTTTGGAGGAGGTTCCGGATGAACTACTAGGTTTCCTGTCCGCCATGAGGTTCCTGCAAAAATTCTCTGGTTAGGAAATCAGGAATATAATTGTTTTCTCCTTTGATATATTCTATATCAAAATCAAAAATACTTAAAATAGATTGTCATCTAGCAAAAATTTGCTTAGCAGCTATATTTTTAACATCTTTTGTTAAAACATCCTTGGCTGATTTACAGTCAACCCGCACAAGGAACTTTTGATTCAATATATCATCCTGGAATTTAGAGATACACAGGACAATAGATAAAATCTCTTTTTTAATAGTGGAATAATTCTTTTGGGTCTTATTCCAAATACCAGAATGGAACCGAACAATCTGTTCAGGAGAATTAGGAGATTCTCTCTGAAGGAGGATTCCACCATAACCAATATCGGAGGCATCTGTCTGGATGATTTTGAAAGAATCAATGGACGGAATACCAAGACAGGGAAGAGTTTTGATGAACTTCTTGACCTGTTGAATAATGGAAGTATGAACAGTGGTCCAAGGAGGAGGATTTCCTTTGAGCCTGTCATACAGAGGTTTGATGGTTTGCCTAAGATCCTGATAAAAGTCAGAAACATAGTTTAGGGAACCTAAAAACCTTTGGAGCTGGGTTTTATCCAGAATTTCATCTGGAAACTTATCTGCAAACTGGATGACTCTACTAATAGGAGTGATAGTAGAATCCTGGATATTGTATCCTAAAAACCTTACTGAGGTTTGAAACAATTTAATCTTAGGTGCAGATAGTACTAGACCATTTTGTTTGACAATTGTATGGAAAGCATAAAGGTGCTTCCAGTGTTCTTCTATTGTTCTGGAGAAGATGAGTATATCATCTATATAGACAATAGAAAAATGACTGATACAATTGAAAACTTCATTCATTATGTTCTGGAATTCATATATATATATATATATATATATATATATATATATATATATATATCATTTACAATTTAAATGAGTGATAAATAAAAGGGTTAATCTTATTTTGCACCCCGAAAGATCGTTGAAATCTTAATTTGTACATCTAAATATCAAAAATCTCAATTTGCACCCTCAAAGATATAAATTTGTATCAATATGCACCTCCAAAGATAAAAAATCTCAATTTACACCCTCAAATATAGAAATCTGTATCAATGTGCACCTAAAATTAAATTGATAAATTATACCTAGATTCTCTCATGTTTGTCACTTAATCATTTGAACCCTTCTCATTTAGAATATTATCCCTACATCTCATGACGTTTGTACATGTGTAACACATAACCACTTTTCGTTGATATCTGTTAATATAATCGTTAAAAAACTATGATTTTATCCTAATAAAAAATTATAATTTCATATTACTCTTTATTTTGTGGATTCGATATACTCTAAAGTTCAAAATTAAGCTTAGAATTTGAATGTCTAATAGAACGTAGATATTTATATAAAGGAAAATACGAAAAATAGTATATAAATATCTACAATTTATTAGACATTCAAATAATAAGCTTGATTTTGAACTTTAGAGTATATTGGACCTATAAAATAAGGGTAATATGAAATTATAATTTTTTATTAGGATAAAATTATATTTTTTAACGGTTATATTTACAGATATCAATGAAAATGGATTACATGTTGTACGTGCACAAATGTCATGAGATGTAGGAGTAATATTCTAAATGTAAAAAAGTCCAAATGATTAAGTGACAAGCATGAGGGGATCTAGGTATAATTTATCAATTTAGTTTTAGGTGCATAATGATACAAATTTATATCTTTGAGAGTGTAAATTGAGATATTTTATCTTTGTGGTGCACATTGATATAAATTTCTATCTTTGAGGGTATAAATTGAGATTTTTGATTTTTGGGGGTCATATTGATATAAATTTCTATCTTTGAGAGTATTAATTAAAATTTTTACTTTTTAAAGGTACAAATTAAAATTCGAACAATCTTTCGAGGCGTAGAATGAGATTAACCCTAAATAAAATCCAATCCTCCACATAAAGAGCACAATAATCTGACGCGACACCACCCCATGTTCATAGTACTTTCGGTTTTTTATTTCCCTCCTCGTCACATCGGTCAAGAACAAAAACACCTTTTTTTTCAAAATTTAAAATCAATCCACAAACTGGCACCGTAAAGGACTACAAAATGGGCGTCATCAGTAAATACCGACAGAAGGGGAAGGAGGACTGAAGGAGAGACATATATGGTTTTGATCCTTTGATCACATCACTATCCATGGCTGGGTAATCGCTCCTGTCTTTCTATCTCTATCGTTCTATATACTTATGTCTGTGCGTATTTTACTATATATACAATGCTAAAGAGCCTCTGATGTGTGTATTATATACAGAAGTTGCAATCTCTCAGTATTGGTTGAACGTTTGACGCAACGTTGACTTGGGTTCTATGGATATGACGAAATGATGAACTAATGTCCCTTTTTTTGGGTTCTTTGGTTAGGTTTTGTAGCTTAAATGGGCATTTCTTTCAGATTCTATGTTCACGACTCGTGTTAATAAGATGGTTGGCTTGATCGGAAATTATTTGTAATTAAATAGTCCTAATGTTAATCCTTTTGATTGCGGTTGAGGTTTTTGATGCAATAATTGGTGCTCTTGAATACTCAGTTGTGCAATACCATATTGGGTGGATATAATCTGTCATGATCATGAAAATGGCTTCGTGGTTTTGATTGTTAACACAAAAGGCCCATCATTTTAGCCACAGAACAGTGCTAAAGCCCTGTTCTTATGCTGCCCATCATCAAAGTTTGTGCTGAATTGTGCAGGTGAATGTGTCCCACACTTGTCCTACTTCAATTTTGCATCAATGCTGGATAATCCTACCTTTGTCCAAACGATTTATTTTTCTTTTGTCTAGCCACCATGATTAGTAACAAAGACCTTGCATATATGTTTGGAGATTTCTCAAAATATTTCAAATTTCGAAGAGATGAATGTTGGAGGAATCTCCTGAAATATTTGTTTGTGGCTATGATAAACTCACCATTGAAGCTGCCTGTGCTCAAGAAATAGAATCTTCGGATTCTTCTCCAAAAATTTGCTTTCAGCCCCTTACCATATTAAGAAGGGTAATAAAAAATGTTGTATTCTTGCTATGTGTTGGTTTAAGATCATTAACAAGAAATGTGACAGAATGATTGTTAGCAGTCACTATGTGTTTCTGGTCATGTTTGGTGTTTGTTGCAGGCCATATAATTCCTTATTGAGAGGGGGCATGTGAATGAATCCTTACTTGATATAGTTTTTTGGCAATCTTCTCATTTCCAGCTTGGCATTGGTTTTTCTCCACAGTTGTTTTCCATGGGCTCCTGGTATTTATAAGTCCGAGTAAAGGATTCAATCTAGATCTCTTGGAGATAAAATATGTTTATAAGTACTCCCCATATTGTAGTTAGATCAGTTCATCTTCATGACTATAGTTATCCTCTTTTGACTATGCAGACCATCATGGTTGGTTGACAGTAATAGAATTGCGACAAAAATCAGGAGTGCATCTGCTGCATGTGATCCTGGAAGAGTCAATTGGACAAGCAACCCAAGCAAAAGTTGCCCAAATTGCCAACATATTATTGATAATAGTGATGTATGATTCCTCTCTTAGGTCTTCTGACATCACTCCAAATTAGTTGACTGTTTCTAATTGGAGCATGTGTTTCACTTAAAATATGAATCATGGCACGCATTCTTGGCTAACATGCATGAAGTTAGATTATGATGAAATGATGCCTTGTCTTTTCTTCTTTCCATGGAAAGCATACTTTGTCTATCATATTGTTGTTCCACTGATAATTGTTTTGCAGATAGTATCTATTTTTTTTGGTTGGACTAGGAGAAACTCTATTGTCTTGTGACTCTTGTCAATTTTGGTTAGAGTTCAAAACTTCGAATAATGAACAAACTTATACAGTTTTGTATTGCAGTTTTATGCTCCAATCATATAAGCAACTCTTCTCTTTTCTCTATTTCTCTCTCTCACTCTCACTCGCACACACACACACACTGTCCAAATCAACGATGAGATTTTTTTTTGCATACTTAAGCCTCATTAGTCATTTCCTTGTTTTTGTTGATACTACAAGTATGTAATCAATTATATAAAGGGAATAGGAGGGTTTGGTTGACCCTTGACATTCAATGACGTTGAGGTATGAAACACATGCATGGTATGTGTGGCTTCCCTCTAATACTTTTCTGAAGAGCTTATAGGGCTGGGAAGCTTGCTTCCCATGTATTGTGCTTTGCAACTTCCAAATGCACCATTCACGTCTGGTATGTTTGCTTGAAACATAAAAAGTCTAGACTTCCACTTTCCATGGCATTTACCTTAAAATTCTAATATGTTTGTTAAAAAGCTACATTTTTTTAGCGACATTTTTTTCACCTTGTTGAAGCTTGACATGAGAAATCTTCTAGCACAAATTTTATCAAAATTGCTATCCCCTTTTTTTCTCTTTTGTCTGAGATTATCATTATTAATGTGACATAAAATATGAATCTTATTTGCGTTATGAACGTTGTATTCCAAGGGCCCTTTTTTTTTGTAATTCCTATCGGCTAACATTGCACCAACTATTTCTGTTAAAATTCAACCTGATAAAGTCTACAATGAATTTGATAAGGTACACCAATCTAAAACTGAACGCTTCTTATTTGAATTTACCCCAAAAGGAATAGTTACTTTCTTTTTTACATTTGCTTTAAGGAGCATGTAAAGCCAGCTACAAATTTTACAAAGTGTAGATTACAATCATGTCAATCTTTTTTTGGTCTTGCCTAACAAGCTTACAAGTTCTTGGACTTTACCCAAGCTGCAAACCCCTCCCCCCCACAAGAAACGAAAAAAAAAAAAAAACACACAACAAAAAAAAAAAAGGAACAGGCGTTATTATGTGGGGTCATCTTGGTTAATCTTAGTGATCCAGCAACTGACTTGGTTATTTATGAGGTTAATAGTTTACAGTGGGCAGTCTACAAAATAATGATGAGCTTTGTCCATGTGCTGCTGTTGGTGTTCCTTTTCTGCCAAGCTTTGTACACTGATGAAATTTTTGTCGTAAAGCAATTTGGTTTACAACCCTTGGTGGGTAGAGTCACTAAGTATGCACATTATATGTGTTTTTCACCTGTTCCCTGTACCACTTATTGGGTAAATGTTCCGTCGCTGATACATCAGTTCATTGAATAATGTATATGGGCTTCAGGAGACTGATTCAGCCTTTCTAATGCCTACCTCTCAGTGAATAGTATGTTGTTTCCTTCTGCTCCGTCGACATTAGTTTGATCTAATGTGAATTGGATGCTTGATGATCCTCTCAGTAAATCACATCTTGGAGGGTTCTGAACCAAAATTTCAGTGATGAGATGCATTGCAGACTAGCTACTAGAGGTGCAAGTTTGGTTAGTTTAAGTTGAGGTTCTACTTGCTTCCTGATCTTGGCCATTTTTTTTTTGGATTATGCTAACATTGGATGTTTTATGATCTGATCAGCTGAAAGTAGGGAATGACCGAGGGTCCCTTTGGTTCTGGTTGACACTCAAGTTAATTGACCTGATATTGAACTAGCAAACAAGTGACCATCTGCACCACTGAAAGATAACATGCTTGGATTAGAAAACTGACTATGCAAATAATTGCTTGATGCAGACTAGCTAAACTGAAGAAAACTGTTTACATATCGGGGTTGGAGGATGGTTTAGTTGCTAATTGGAGAATCTATTTGTTTGCCCTTTCTTGGGCTGACAGATGTTCGTTTGATGCTCTATACCTTTGGGTTGGTCTTAGAATAATTTTATTAGCCTAATTGAGTTTTGGTTTGTTAGACTTTGCTAGGTTGTTATATTTGTGTCTACTCTTTTATGGCTATGCATTGAGTTGCTGATTAGAGGAGCTATTGGTTTTCCCTTTCCTGGTCTGACATATCATCACAAACATTTCTTCATACTTCATCAGTTTCAGGAAGTTGTCCATCATTATATGGTCTTGAGTCTTGACCACTTGTTGCAGTATGTATACCAGGTTTTTCATTTATATTTATATTCAGTATGTTTTCTTGATTCATATGTGCACATGGCTTGATCACTTTTAGTTAGAATGCATGTAGAACTTGTTTACGATGTCTATAAACACCTTTGTTTGCAGGTCACTCAAGAATGGCCAGGATTACCCAGAGGAGTGAAATTTGACCCCTCTGATCAGGAACTTATCTGGCATTTACTGGCCAAAGTTGGTGTTGGGAATTTGAAACCCCATCCTTTTATTGATGAGTTCATTCTAACTGTTGATAAAGATGATGGAATCTGTTATGCCCATCCTCGGGATTTGCCTGGTACGTTTAGAACATTATTCCCTCTCTCGTCCTGCTTTTCACTCAATTATCTTCATGTAATCAAGTTCTAACAGTAGAAGTTCTTAGGTGTTAAGCAAGATGGCAGTGTGTCTCACTTCTTTCACAGAGCAATCAAGGCCTACAACACTGGAACTCGCAAGCGTCGAAAGATCCATGGTGATGATTGTGGAGATGTTCGTTGGCACAAGACTGGCAGGACTAAACCAGTTATCCTGGATGGGGTTCAGAGAGGGTGCAAGAAATTTATGGTACTTTATGTGACCCCTGTCAGGGGTGGGAAACCAGAGAAGACTAATTGGGTGATGAGTCAGTATCACTTGGGCACGGGGGAAGATGAAAAAGAGGGAGAATACGTCACTTCCAAGGTGTTTTATAAGCAAAAGCAAGTCAAGCAGAGTGAAAAAAGTGAAGATGATATTCCTGAAGACAATGAAACAATTGCAAAAGTAGACCCAATCACTCCCAAGTCTGTGACTCCTGAACCCCCTCATAATGAAAGGCGATTTTCTGATTTTGACCTGGTACAGGAGTCCACTTCTTACATTGGTCAATTGGCTCAGGTAAAATGAACTTCTCTCTTTGTGCTGACTACACATGCCCTTTTGCTTTTCACAACTATTATCTGCAAACTCTTTATTTTTTTTGGCTTTTTCACCCCTATTGTCTGCCGAGGGAAGTTTATGTGGTAAACTTTACTCAAGGATTGTTTGGTTATTCCTTTGTAAAAAGAAGGGAGGTGTGTTTACACTAGTGTTGAATGAGGTGACTTAAAAGTGCCAATTTTCTCCGGTTCATGGGGCCCAATTACCAACTTCATTTCAAGTAGCCCTGTGATGAAATGTATAGTGAGTCAATGAGCCAGAAAACTAATGAAAATAATGAGATGCTAACGTTGTAAATTTCCAAGGATCAAGATAGTTTCGGAGAATTTGATATCCTTCCTTTTGTCACAGCTGCTCATGCGACAATAGACAGTGACATGTTTCATTGCAATTTTATCGGATGTCCCTGAAGGGATGACACTGACATGTTTCTCTTTTTTTTCCTCTTTTTCTACTTAGCATCATGAAATGGGTGGTTACATGAAAGAAGAGGTGGAAGCTGCACTTGAGATGCCTAATCATCAAGATCACCTCCCTGCAGAAAATCATGCTGACCAAGTAGTAGAGAATAATGAGAATCAGGTCATTGAGGATGACCCAAAATGGTGGGACAGTGAGTCTCAGTATCTGTTAGACTCGCAACAGCTTGTGGAAGGGCTGTCTTTGTGTGATGAGCTTCTGCAGAGCCAGTCTCCCAACAGGGATGGAAATGAAACTGATAAAGAACTAAAAGCCAAGCCCCGTCTTGCTGATTATGCTCACTTAGGACCAGAGAATTTAAAGAAGGATTTGGAGGCGTGCCAAGCTTTGGTCTTTGATCCAACAAACCTAGAACTTGATACACCACCTGATTTTCGGCTGAGCCAAATAGTAAACTCTGTTATCCTTTCTGGCATTTTCTTTCGTTGTATTGAACATAATGGTTTATACTTTATTGCAATTGACTTTCATTAATTATGATGCCTGCTCTTATACATCTGTAGGAGTTCGGATCACAGGAAAGTTTTCTTGGTTGGAGTGGGAGCTAGGTGGTTGACTCGATAGTGAATATGGTTTTGCACATCTTCATTTCGTCCTCTCATGGACAAAATACTTACAATTTTTGTTGCCACTGTTTGTGAAGACTTGGTCCTCTAAGTTCTCGGGGAGTACTTCATGGTGGTGCAAGTACTGTTATTTTGTAATCTGGTGATGTTATGATCTCATGCTTTTGTAAATTATCAACTGTTTTGCTTTTGAGGTAGATCCAACTGTCATAGCAATGTCGATCTGGTTTTGTTATGCGAAAATATGGCCTAAAAAGCTTGATGTTAGCATATCTTTAAGACATAATTGCAGTATGTGCTTAAGATATGCAATCTGTTGTTTTATTTTGTACATTTATTTTAGATGGGGTTTTTTGTTAGTTCCCCATTTCAGGGGAACTATGATTTCATGTGCTTTTTAAGGGTTTCAAGCAGTGAGTTGGTTGAAACCCTTGTTGATTAGATGACAGATATATAGGTAGACCTTATTATGCTATAAAACTTCATGCACTTCAAAGGAGGTGCCTAATTGACCCAGGGGAGGAATGATTATTAGTCATGAGCCCCAAAGATGAGTAAAATTCTCTCTCCCTTATGATTAAACGCACTTTTTAATTGGTGTTATTAGTTTTTTATACTGATTTCTTAATTTAAATATTTATTAGGAGTAGATTTTTCAAAATATAGAGAAATAAGGTATTATTAGGTGAAATCATGGGAATATAATTCATGAGGGTAGGTCTTGGCGTAACGGTGATATTGTTTCATTGTAATTTGGAGGTCGCAGATTTGAGTTGCGAAAGTAATCTTTTTACTTGTAGGGTTTGCGTTGCAGGTTTGAATGATTGTGTACATTTAACACTCTTTAAATTCCACAATGACAAAAAACGACTCGTGCACTGAGTATGCTTCTTATGGAAATATAATTTATGATATGCCCCAAACATAAAATAATTGGTTGCATGAGCCAGGTGATGTAGCATAACTCAATGAGTCATGCATTCATTTAACTAGCAGAGTCTCTCAGGTCATAAGGGTTGGCCTGAAAACTGGCCTGACAGAAATTTGGGCCAGACCTTGTTCTGAGGTGAGGGGTCCCTAGGGCTTGTTCATCAGCTGCATAATTGCTTTCCAGTGGACACCATGCTTGCAGCCTGGCAAAATGTTTTAGAAAGTGCACTTGAGGATAAGAATGGGTACCATTTTAAAAAAATGGTGTATAAAGACAGGGTTAACCAGGTGCTATTCATGCCAAGACATGAGTAATGGGACATGTTGTGTTCAAAAAGAGTTTGAACTGAGTCTAGCTAGGGTGTGTTCAGTTCACCTACTATGTGCAAAAAAGGAACAGACATGAGGGCCCTGATTTTGGTTTAGCCTTCATACTGAAATTTGACAATGCACAACTATGGGTATGAATCTAGTCGTGTTTAGAGCTGATAATCAAGTCGAGTTATTTGGGCTCGATTTAGATTCAACTCGTATAAGATTTTACTCCAAACGAGCTGACGAGCTAAACTTGAATAATTTTTTGGTTCGATTCAGGTTCGACTTATTTTTGGCTCATTTTTTAAACGATCTAAACTTGAATAATTTTCCAGGTTCATTTAAAAAACAAACTCAGTTCGATTATCAACCCTAGTCGTGTTATATTCAGATGTATGTTATTTTGATTTTGTGTCAAGTTTTAGACAATCCTAATTCAATCCCATTTAATGACTCATGCCGATTATTTTTATAGTAATGCATCATGTTTATTAATCGTATCATATTTAGGTTGACACACATAATGTTTCATCTCTAAGCTAAACCCTCAACCCATAACCCTTGTCATTGGCCACATGATTGCTTGCAGGGGAACTGGGTCATTCCAGTGTGTTCCTTGGCTTGCAGCCTGGCAAAAAGTTCAAGATAAGTGCATTTGAGGATGAGAAATGGGCATCTCTGGTGTATAAAGTCAAGGTTAACGAAGGTGTTACTCATGCCAAGACATGAGTGATGGGCCAATGTGTGTGTTTCAAAAGGGTTTGAGCTGATTCTGGCTAGGGGCTCTCACTTCACCCACCAAGTACTAAAAAGGAAGACACATAAGGGCCTCGGCACATTGGTTGGTTTGGCTGTCACAAGAATACATTTTGGTTTATCCTTCTTACTGAAATTTGACAAGGCATGTTGTTGAGATGTTTCTCATGTGGTATCAATGGAGTCATGTTATATTCAGTTGTGTAATTTTGATTTTGTGTTATGCCTAACATGTTTTCATTGAATAAAAAGTAGAGATACGATACTAAAAAATTATATTTCGGTACCATAATTGGACCCATACCACGACTACTCAAACCAGGATCAATCTTAATATATGATGGTGTATACACATGTATACTATGTGCACACATAGTTGTATGAATGCGATGAGGACAAGTGACAACAAATTATTTGGAGTGGGAAGAACGTTGAGCATCCAAAGTGCAACAAAAGCGCAAAAAGTGATAGTAGAGGTAAAATGGGCATACTCGAAATTAAGTAAGATTAGTGTCATTTGATCTGAATGGAACTACCGGTGAAGAAGACTCATGTTTTGCTATAAGCTCCATCAATGTTAAATCAAAGTTTATCGTTTAGACATTCAAAATTTCATTTTTTTTTTGTTTTAAGAAAGAATTCAAAAAATAATAATAAATAGCAAGAAATTCTGAATTCAGTGCCGTCAATTTTGTTAGATTTCAAACGACAAGTGTTTTTATGTTAATTAGTTAGATTATAGTTTTTTATTTTTTATAGATTTTATATAATTAAGAATTTTACTTTCATTATAGAGATAATTAAGATTTTGATCATTTTTATATATTCCTATGTAATTTCATAGAGTTATCTTATTTTTCATGTAGATTCAGATTTATTTGTGTTTTGAGAAAATTTTAGTCACACCCCTTTTAGTTTATTATATCTTTAAAGACATCTTTTTTATTATAAAAAACATTGACACTATTTTTAGTTTATATTTAAACATCACTGATACCTCCTGTCATTAAAGCACCATTTATAACAAAAATAAATTATCTAAAATACATAAAATTTGATTAAAATTCGAGCTTATTAAAATTTATTTTTCTACATATTAAAATTCGAGCTGATTAAATTAATTTTTCTATATATTAAAATTTATTCAATTAAAATTTGATTCAAATTGATTAAATTTTATTTTTATGTATTAAAATTTGAGCTGATTTAAGCTATTAGCCCGGATTAAAAATTATATTTTTTTATTAATTAAAATTCGATTCAAGTTGATTAAAATTTATTTTTTATGTATTAAAATTTATATTTTTCAATAAATCAAAATTCAGGTCGATTAAAATTTAATGCAAGTTAATTAAAATTTGATTTAAACATCGAATAGAATTTTAATCTGGAAAAATTCTAATAAGTAAAAAAATATAATTTTTTAATTGACTCATATTTACATAAAAAATAAATTTTAATTAGCTTGAATCAAATTTTAATCAATTCAAATTTTAATACGTAAAAAAATTTTAAAAAATAGAAAAGGTCTTATTAAAGATATGTCTATTTAGAGAGAGTGTGGATAAAATTTTTCTTAAAATATATCACGAGTAATTTAGTAAAATTACATTCTAATTAACACATTTAATTTGACATAGAGATGGTGTTTTTAAAGATATAATAAATTAAAATAGGTGTAACTGAAATTTTTTCTTGTGTTTTTTTACACTTAAAAAATAATTATTATTTTTTAAAAAAAATTGGGTATGTTTCCTGAAATGATTTGAAGAGAATGAGTACTTTTCCATGCACCCAAAAAAAAAAAAAAAAAAGGAAAAGAATGACAGACTGATGATGGTGAGGGGTTGAAGATGAGGAATCCCACGTGGGGGTGGATAAGGCTGCCACTTTGATCGATCACGTTCTGTCGGCTGCCTGAGATGCGATTGGAAATGCAACTCTCTATTATTATTATTTGGACTTCATTATTGTAGCCAAAAATAAAAAATATATTTAATATCCTACTTCTTATTATATTAATATATATATTTTTTAATTTTTATGAATTATTTAATAATAAAAAAATTATAATTTTTGTGGGTGATTTATCACCTTTGTAGGTGTTTTTGTTAGGATTAATCACAAGTATCACAAAAATAGTAAAAATAACCAAAAAAAAAAATGATAAATGACAATAAGATATCGATTTTTTTTTGATACCGTAAACTTGTTCTTATCATTATATTATAAAAATGATAAAAATAATTATTATAAAAATAATAAATAACCATTTTTTTAGGATATACTTGTCATTATTATTATGTGGCCGACAGCGCAATATCACATTGCCAGACTGACCCACGTTTTTGGACTCGAATACCTCTGGCTATGTTGGACGTTTGAATTAAAACTATCACCGATTAGGTGGTCCAGTCATGGTATGGTGTCTTCTTACGTCTCTCGTTCAGAAGTTTGAGAATTTGAGTTTTGAAATTTCATTAAAATTTGGTTATTGATCGCTAAATTAATTTAAGTAAATTTAGTCTTAAGAGGTGTTTTAGGTGCGATCAGGGATCTTATGATCCCATCGGTAAGGGTCTAACGGGATAGTCATTGGGCGCTCTCCTTTACCCCCACCCCTTCTTCTTAACCGGCCAAAAAAATAAAAATAAAACTTAAAATTCTAAGTATGTCAAGAAATTAGAATTGGGTGTACAACATTTATATATTAAGATCTTGAGATCGAATCTCCTAAAAAAAAATCTTATGTTTGATCAATGCTTATTATTTATGAATGTAAATTGTAAAAACTTTCATTATATTCTCTACTTCAAAAAACTCATGATTGAATCAGTTTTTTTTTATTTACAAAAAAAAAAAAAAACCTAGAGCCTATTTTGTTTGCATCTCAAAAAAAAATATTCAAAAACTATTTTTGAGAAAAGTTTTAAGAAAGTGTTTTTAAAAATTTTAAATTACAAAACTTGTTTGGTTATATATTTTTGAAAATAATTTTAAAGAACATAAATTCTAAAATCTTTTTTGACAATAATTCACAATTCTCATCTCTCTCTTTCTTTGCCCTTTCTCCGTCTCCATGAAACACACTCACACACAGACACACACACATAGAGACACATACACACAAAGACATACACAGATCTATGCTCAAATCTGTGTAGATCTGAAGCTTCAATTGTTGAGAGAAAAAGAAAGAGAGAGATCAAATCTAAAGCTTTTGGTTTCGGTGAAGAAAAAGACGCTAAAGAA